TTATATTTTTTTAAATTATATTATTAACTTCCTTTTAAAAACATTGAGATTAAATACAGAATTTATATCATTTCAATAGTACAACAAAATTTAGTTGCGTCGTTCAACCAGTTAACTGTTATAAACTAGTATACTCGTCACAGAGAAATGGCAATATTTTGTGTTATGACGAGTATATTCGTGTGGAAAAAATAGTTACTATTTATTATTTAAATAGCACTTTTATTAAAAACTAATATGCAAAACTTCATATGCAAAACTTCATATGCAAAACTTCATATGCAAACTATATGTTTAAATTAAGTAAATAAATCACAATGTTAGTAATAAAAATTATTAATGTTATACAAAAATAAAATAACCATTTTTGATTAGAACTTAATTCAATATTATAAGAATTACACATACTCTGTATTTGGTGAATATACTCGTCATCGCTTCATTTTGGCAACATAATCTAATGGTAAGTACAGACTTTTCAAAGAGATCACTACAACTAATATAATTATTTAACATGTTAAACGCTGTAGCTTTTAAATTATCGTGGCGTAAATGAAGTCCAAACAAAATAAGCTCAGCCGCTAACCCTTTCGCTCCGAAGGGGCGCGTATATATGCGCCCTCAAAGAATGAACATTCATATACCGCGTACGAAGAGCGTACATAAACGTTCAAATCATATATATTCGTAGCATTCCGTACCTCAGTGTCGACTAGTCAATAATACGTTCCGTTCACAGCTATCATGTTATGTCGCTAGATTTTACGATTAGATTTATAAATATCGATTTAAAAGAAGACCTACATTACCTTCAAAACAAAATTGACATTACCGACCTAGCGTTATGCCATACATAAAATACACTACAAGATGGCGTATGACTTGATCCGAATAAACCGTAACCATTTATATATATATCGTAGAAATAATTAATATTTCTCGACAACAACGGTGAGGTCGCTTTTCTTTCTCTATTCATAACCCAACGGAGAAAACCAAGCAGAGAAACGAAAAAGGGAGAAACGAAAAGGGATAGAGAGAAGTGAAACGAAACTAAACGAGTACTAAGTTACACCCGCTTATCTTTAACATAAATCCTAGTGCGTAGCCTACCTGTCGACTATTGTGGAACGCCACTATACCTCCCTCTATCCCTTTTAACGTCGAACTGTCAAATCTAAGGAACCTTGTTTGTATACGAAATTCTTATCGAGCCTTTGGGGTTCACATCGCGTCTCGAAGAATACGACAGGTCAAACGAACGAGACAAACATAAAGCAGGTTCGTACTCGATTCGGGCGTCCTTTATAAGAGGGATGAAAGGACCTCGACGTCGAACGAGAAGCTTTTTACACACCTTCACCAAAGTCAAAAAGCTTCGGCCGTGATGTGACACCGGCGCTTTTACCATGGACCTGTCGCTTCGTTGTCTATTTTCTTTTTTTTTCTTTAATAATCGTCACTCCTAATCGCTATCGTTATCGTGCACCTTCCAAGCGTTTATTCTTATTCTTTCTAATCACTTAAGTTAAAAGTTTTTACTCCTATCTATTACCTATATATATATATGTATATGTGTGTATATATATATATATATATATATATATATAAATGATATATATATATATAAACAAAAAAGGATTCTATACAAATAGCGTGCACTTAATTCATTTTGAACGCTGTCATGAATTTTTGTTTTTCTTAACCTAACATCAGATCAATGACTGATGATGATAATATTCGAAGATATACGTCACGTATGTATATATCCGTAGGTATACATGCATGTCATATGTATTTTATAAAAATCACTATAATTCTTGAAGAAGTAATAATGCGATTACTTTTTTTTGCATTTGTCTACGTTTGAAAAGTGCAACTCTTGTGTGTCATTACTAATAATATTAGTTTTCTTTTACGATATTATACGTAATCCAAATACTTCCTGCTTTTTCGTCTCTTACTTTTTACTACGACCTACTTTCTGTACTTTTAATATTTTTTTAAAATTTAAGTTTAGTGTTCATTATTATCTGCATAATTTCTTTAAAAAGAAACATCGTGTCCACGCGTAGATTTTGTATTCTTTCTTTAAATCAAATATTATTTCACAAAATTAGTTTGATCAACTACTCAATTGGAATTAAGAAAATAGCCTGCTTCCTTTTTTTCTTTGAGTTTTTAACATCCAACGTATAATTATATTGAGGTAAAGATTCTTTTGTTTAGTTAATGATAAAAAATCAATGTATGCTGTTATATGTTATAATCTCTTTATGTATACAGAATGAGCCGCATAATGGATGAAAAAGAAGAGTTAGTTAAAAAAGCTTTATTTAGCTTTGTAAGAAAACAAGTACCTACTGCACAGCTAAGGTAACTTTATCATAGTATTATAGTTAATATATATCCATTACTTATTGTTTCTAAAATATGTATCTATTGTATTTTTTAGTTTAATCGACGATATTGTACTCAGCTATGTGGTAAGCATGGTAGAAGAAAATGCTATGGAGGAAGAATTAGATGTGGATGGTTTATGCGAAATGGTTTCTGCTTGTCTTCCTGAATTTTCAACTATCGAAAAAGAAGCTGTATCGAAATGGTTACTTGACGTTGAAAGTAAACTACGTCAGGGAAGTAAGGAAAATGAAAATTGCCAACCCCATGATCCATTGAGTCATATTAGCCTGGCAGCTCTTTTACCACCTGGTACTCAAAGAATGCGAGTACATCATCTCTCAGAAACTAGTGATGCGGGCAGCGATTCCAGTGGAGAATACTTTTCTGAGGTACACACAACCCAGATGCATCTACCCCCTTTACACGCACACGATTATTTTTATAATCTAATTAACTTTCTTACCTCTCCAGGAATCATCTTGGCATCAAGTTGCACTCCTACAAGAAATGTTTCCAGCTGCTAGCCCAGCTGAAGCTCGACATTGTTTAGCAGTTGCTGGAGGTGATATAGCAAGAGCAGCTCAATTAGCTTTGCATCGTCAAGAAGCTGGCCAAAGTATTGTCAGCAATCTGACATTTTTAACGGTATGTATTTATCTAACATAAGTTCATATAGACGTATTTTCAATATTTGAAGTAATTTAACAGCAAATACATGATACTTAATATGTTTACATGAAAAATAAAGAAGGGTAAATTTATGTATACTAGCCCAATGGTCGGAATAAAGCCAGGGTAAATGACGAAGAATTGAAGTCACGTATCATCGCTCGGTATAGTTACGTCGACAGGGATGATGATTCTCGCGAACATCGTCCGGTTGCGCCTAAAACAGAACCAAAGAAATTAGTGCGCTATCTGGACAATAAAATCGTAAGTGTAAAAGGTGAACGTTATACTGAAGTACGAAGAGGAGGCGAAGATGAGGAAGGCAACGAAGGCGGTAGAAAACGAGGTCATTGCCGTCCGTAACCAGTCCCTCTGCCTCCACCACCTGACCCACCCCCTTGGAGGCATCTGATTTCTAATTAAGCCTTCGATTTAGATTTTTCCCATCTCGCTTATGTAGTGGTACGCGTGATACGTATTGGTAGTATTGGATTTTAACAAATATCTCGATGACATCTCTCTCTAACTGATATTATTATATTTTTTTTAATATTTGAAATGGTATATTTTTGTTTACATCTTATGACATGTTATAAAAAATGAACAAATGTGTAGTACAAAATAAGTTTATGCTCGATTATTATGTATGTACTTATAAACAAATATGTGAAGTTGTTGAAATCCAATACGTAGTATATGGATACAAATTATGATATTTTTTTGATCGAGCGTACAATGGCCATGGAAAAAATACTTGTATCCATTATTTGGATATATATGGTTGTACAGTTAGTGAAAAATATTATATTACAGATAAAGTGATTGATGATTAGAAAAGACTTGTAAGAAAAAAAAAAAGATTTATCATAGTATGTCACATATAATCATAATCTAGCAAATGACAAAATTTTTTGACTCTTGCAGCTAATAAATATATAATAACATGTCTTATGGGAACGAGTTAAACATGCATTTTTCAAAATGTTAATTAACAATTATAGGTTCCTACGAGCAACATTTATATATTAATTTATATATTAACATTTTATGTTAAATTAACATATATTAACATATTACATACATGTTAATTAACATATTTTGACAAAAGCACATGATTTTTTTATGATTGTTTTATTTAAAACATAAGCTTCAATCAAGTAAGTGAGCTGGCTATTGTAAACTCGGCTGTAGCCCATTTATTCCAACAATATTCTGTCAATGACCTTTGATACTTTATATTTTTGCATATCCTTATTTTTATTGCTCTTTGTGTCGCATATTATTTATTTAATGTGTAAGAAACTTTTGGTTCCTTACTATATTTCTATCAACACGTATCTTCTTGCATTTTTAGTTTATCTATAAAATGTATCAATAAACCACCAATAATACGAGAGCGTATAGTTTCTAAGTGTGATCAGTTGCTTCAAATCTAAATAAATAGACATCATGAAAAGTTTCTCTTACTGCATGTTCATAGTGCGGAGAAACTTATGTATTAAATTATTCCTATGATGATGTTTGCCAACTAGTGGCAAAATGACGTATACAAAATGAATTTCTGATAATTGCACTCTTGATAAAATAAAGTATAAAAAATAACATTTTTTTGACACATCTATTTACAGATTAACAAGAAGCAGTTATTTTAGTGTCACTAGACTAGATCTTTAATGAAGCATTTTAGTAAAATATATAAGCCATTATAAAAATATGACTATAAAAAAAGTCATTGTCCGTTAAATAATCAAAAATCGTCAGCAAAAAATAATAATTATATTAAGATAAAAACATTTTCTGCTGACAGTATCGACAGCATAAAATCTTGTTTATTCGGTTATAGTTAATGAACGTACGTATGAAAATGTTTGGTATTATAAATTAATATAAAGTTATAGATTTCAAGTCATAAATCTTAGTATACGTCTTAGGTAGGCAAGAACATATATACCACACATTTAGGCGGGATAAAATTTGCTTACCACGCCATATGATTTATCAGTATTACTATTTTTACTGCTATCATCACTACTTTTAAAAGATAGTATACACATAACCACTGTTACAGTCTTTTTTGTGTTAGATAACATATAATCTATAATAGAAAATCTGATCAAATAATTTGTAATATTCTCATGCTGTTAATTGTGACATGTACTCCGCGATACTATGTTTATATTGCACGTATTGACAGCAAACTGATAGAAAAATGAAAATTGTCAAATAATGTATCATCATTGCTGTCAGTTTATGGAATGATAAATTTTGTATTTCTATAGTTTTTCCATTGTGTATAAAATGATAGCATTAATCAGCTCTTGAACTTTTATTATAATACAATTGCAATATGTGCACATTTTATGTGTGTATATATTTACTATTTATTCTGAAGTATGTTTAATCTTAGTAGATAAGAAACAATACCTATTTTCTGCTAACAAAATATCATTTAGTTGATGGTTTCTTATATAGCTTATATAATTATTATATAATATTAATACAGCATATAAATTATATAGTAAAATAAAGTCAACATGCACGCGTAGTTGAACATGTTTTAAAATATATTACTTTTGAATTCTATTTAGGAATATAAAATTTTTCTTTTTTTTTTCCTCTCTTGTAAGCTTTTACATACTTCATGAAAAAGATTATAAAATATATCATACATGTCTCATAACGGGCCAACCCTTGCCATAGATAATTATAAATTAAATATACCTATAACATATAACTATATTAATAATTATAATCTCTGCAAACATGTTCTTTGTAAACTAAATGTATTCTACTACCTGTGAATTTAAAAATTATTACTGCTTCTCCAATATTTCAGAAAATATGCACATATTATATATGTATATATATATATATAAATATATATATGTCATATATATGTCATAGATATTTATATCTATATGTATATATATATATATACATACAGAATATAAAATAGAAGCAAAGTAGAGTACTTTAGTTTTTTGCAAAATTTCTGTAGATCTCAGCTTCATACGATATATATGCATTTTGGACAATGATTTCTAGATTACCATACTATATTATACAACATAGAAATTTCATTTTTATTATGTTTATTTTTAATTATGTTGTAACAATCATCTTATTGTTATCCTTTATCAATCATATTGTCATGGCTCAGTTTTGTTTTAATATCGATTTAATAAATTCGATGATTCCATAGAATTTCAGTAATTCTTATAAATCCAATAACTTAACAAATAAAGAAGCGATATTACATATATTAGCGACATTGAAGAAAACAAGATTGATGCCAAGTGCTTAATAAGTTTTTACATCCCGTTAAACAACATATGGAAACTTCGGGGCCTTATAATATGGTTAAAAAGAATAAATCGGTATCAGTATTTTTTATTTTTCAGAGGAAACAAGTTTCATACAAACTCGTTATTAACGTAAAAATTTGAAATTTGTCAGATATTGATTTGTGTTTTAAAATATTTTCTTAATATAATCCCTCAAACAAATTAATAGATACAAAATTATATCATAAAATTAGGCCATTACTATACATTTTTTTATATAAAAAAAATAATTATTAAATCACCATTTAATAGAGGACTAATTTAAACTTACACACATACGCATATATTTATTTATTCTCACGATTATTAAATATTTTATACTTATCACAACATATTGCGCTTGTCAATATACATTTGAAGATAAGGATAATTTGCACTACTTTATTATGTATTGTTTCAAGAGGAAATTTTTTTTGTATTCAAAAATAAAAATAATGTTTTGTTTTTTTTTAAAAAGAGAGAATAATTCACACATTGCTGTGAAACCTTTTCGTGTAAAGTATCTTGTAGCTAATGTACTCATATATACTATGCTTCGTTAAATTTAAAAAATAAGTATATGTGAACACGATAGTACTGATTCTAAGTGGTTTCTAAAAACTTACAGTCGTTCAAAGTATATATTAAATTTTTTTCAATTACATTTAAAACGACTTCTACATTTCTTCCATCAAAAAAGCTTATTATTTCTTTCTGTTATTGTCATAAAACTTTAACATATATACTTTTCCTGATATATAGCATTTGTAATTATTTATTAATAAAAATTATAAATATAAACTTTAATTAAAAATGAAATCATAAACACTTAAAAGTTAGCAGCAATAAATTTAGCTTATTTATCAGATGCAAATCGAAAAATTCCAATTACAAAATCGGAGCTAAAAAATATTCAATAATAATGTTTTTTTTATTTCATATAAAAAAAAAAAATTATATTTTACCAAAATTTTTTGTATAAAGGGAATTACTGTGACGCCATCTGTTGTAAGCAAGCAAAATATATTTTCTACCGTAGATATAAAGTACAAGATCAAGAAATAAGTTACAAGATCAAAAATATGTATACAGAATTTTATATTTGAATAAAATAAAAAGTAAAACTAAAAAAAAAATAGTTTACTTGACAATATTTTCGTTGTATTGAAGAGAAAATAATAAAATCACGTTACAATTCATTGCTTTCAAGCTATACCGATTAGCCATATTGCGATTAGACATTACTACACTTGAAACCTATAAATAAAAATTCTAACAGAAAGTAAAATCCATTATAAAAGGCATAGAATTGTAAACAAATTCAATCTTAATACAAAACATAAAATATAAGTTAAAAGTGTGATGTGTACGATGAAATAAGTAAATTATACAAATCCAATTTATTACTTATCTACTTTCATGCAGTAAAAAGACATTTATTTTTTTATTGTTATAATTTTTTAAAAAAATAATAACAATCTTACATTATTCACAACCCCATATACCTACCGTTGATTGTTTGATAATATCTCTATTTTCCCTTCTAACTCTAGTCACTGCACTAGCTTCACCTTTTACTAAAATCTTTCTAGAAAGATTCTTTTTTTCTCGTTTTTCTAAAGATCGTTTTGTTCTCTTTTTTATATCATCTGGTGATATAATAGTTGTAGCAGAACTTCTAGCAATTCTTAGATCTTCATTAACATTTTCTTCTGATAAATCAACTTCTTGCATCGATTGTTCCACTCGTAATCGTAATTCATCTATATCATTTTCGAAATTGGACTCTTTACTATTATCATTAGCATTATCACCAGCACTAACATCGACATCATCATCATTGTCCTCGTCGTCATCATAATCATCATTATCAATCTTACAAGTTTCTTCATTTTCTTTCGCTTCAAAACCCATTTCTATTAAAACATCTTTTTCCATTTGTTTTGTTAGACCACTAGCTTTAATTTCTATGTCAACACAATCTTCTCGTCTAAAAATATGTCGAATATCAAATAATTAACTGTATGGCAAAAAATATATATTTACAATAAAAATAGATTTAACTTACAGAATATCCTTAAATGTTGGGTAAAGTTCACTTTCATATCCAAACCTTCTTCTAAAGAAATCACGAATACAATTGACATCACGTTCAAAATAAAGTTCTGCATTTTCATGCTCGGTAGAAATCATTTGTGGAAAATCAATAATAATCGGTTTACCATCATTCGTAATCAAAATATTAAATTCATTAAAATCACCGTGGATAACACCATGATTTCCAAATTTGACGATTAAATTCATTAATTCGTCATACAATTCTTCCACATCACTTACTTCATGAACTTCACATCTATACATTGAAATTTCATTTGCTAACGGTAAAAAATTTAATACAAATTATTAATTCAATTCAAAGTAAAAAAACTTACAAAGGTCCACCTTCAACCAGCTCCATAACAACGCAATGTCGATTAAAATCAATTGGTTTTGGTACTGGAAATCCTCTATCCATGAGTGCTTGCATATAGGCAAATTCCCTTGTTGCTGATATTCGAGACAGATATAACCAGGATGCAGACTTTCTATGTTGATGATAATCTCTTTTTCCTTTGATGTTTCGGAAACATGTTCTACCTAATCTATGTAATTTCAAACAAATTGGATTTCCTTCTTCATCTGCCACTACATAAATGTTAGATTCTTTTCCAATACCTATTTGATTTCCAAAAGAACCAACAACACCTCTTTGTGCCAGTACTTTTAGAGCTAAGTAATCATAACCAGCATTTGTTAAACGATAACCATCATCTACAATAATATACTCAATTATATAAAATATATTAATGCTTATTAAAAGTAAAGTTTAACAAATAACGTACAATGTTTCCCTCTTTCATAACTGAGTAATCGATGTTTACACAATTCCTTTAACAATTTATGAACACCACCATAACGCAAATTTGCTATTTGCGCAGCAAGTGAAGCTGGTACAAGCTCATGATTTTTCATACCCATTTCAATCTGAAAGTTCCATTATAATCCATACACACACTGGATTATGATAAATTTAATAATTTATAATTATATTGTTTATACTTACTGCCGTTAATACACGGAAATCTTCCCGCGTTAAATAACGCAACATCGTGACATTTAACTTTCCCATGATTTAATTCTAACAAATATACAATTTTATAAGTTCTTTGTGTTCATGTGCTTTTACCTTTCCATCAACTCTTTCGTTACCACCATATTTTCTCATCCATGAACCATGCGATAACGAAGCTATACTACTGCATTGATGCCAACATGACAATGATTGGAGATTGTCTCAAGTTTCAGTATTAGTAAACGTCGTTGTGGTGTTGATTAAGAATAATATTTACATAATATAATTTAATAAAATGGAAAAAGTTTCACGTAGACGTAATATTGAAAAATCGAAGAAAGGTACACGACATAAAAGTAAGAACAAAAGTTATGATAAGAATTACAATAGTGACGTTGAACATCATTCACAAAATTCTAAATCTCATAGAAACTCGAAAAAATCTAATACGAGAAAAAAGAAATCTAAGGATGTTCGAAATTTGTCGAAATCTCGCGAATCACGGAAAAAATCGTCCAAGCATAAAAGCAGAAGAAGGTAAAGTATTTTTAAATAAGCTTTTTTCAACCTAACCTATATTACGAATACTTTTTTGTTTAATAACGAAATATTAATCCATTACAGATCATCCTCATCTTCTTCTTCGTCATCGTCATCTTCGTCGTCCTCTTCTTCCACTTCGTCATCTTCGTCGAGTGAATCAAACAATTCTTCTTCTTCAGATACTTCATCTGACTCAACGAAACTATTAGAAAAATTGCAGAGGCAACGTCAAAAACAAATAGAAGAACGTAAACGTCAGAAGGAATTAATGAAAGCTGCAGAAACACCAGAGGAGAAGAGAATAAGACGATTAAAAAAAAAAGAAGCTAAAGAAAGAAAGCGTAAAGAAAGAATGGGTTGGGACAATGATTACTTGCATTACACAAATACAGATAATCCATTCGGAGATGGAAATTTACTGTCAACGTTTGTATGGTCCAAAAAATTAGAAAAAGAAGGTTTGCTTGGTGTTAGCAGAGAAGAACTTGAGACTAGAAATAGACATAAACAAGAAGAAAATAGAAAAGAATTAGAGAAAGTTAAAAAAAGAAGGCAAGAAAGGGAGTTGGAGAGACAACAAAGAGAAGAAGAAATGACGCTGTTGCAGAGAGGAAAAGAAGCTGCGCAATTAGAACAATGGGCTAGACAAGAAGATCAATTCCATCTTGAACAAGCAAGATTAAGATCACGTATTAGGATTCAGGATGGTCGTGCTAAACCAATAGATCTTCTTGCAAAATATATCAGTGCGGAAGAAGAAGTCGATGCTGTGGAAATGCATGAACCATATACATATTTAAGAGGACTACATGTTAAAGATTTGGAGGATCTTATTGAGGACATTAAAGTCTATAAAGAATTAGAAAGAGGAAAAAATTTGGATTATTGGAATGATATAACTGTTATTGTTGAAGATGAATTACATAAATTGCGGAAATTAGAAAGATCGGAATATGAAGTAGCTGTTGGCAGAAGAGAAGGAATTCATTCGTCAGTGGCAAAAGATGTTACTGCTATTTTTAAAGGAAAAACAGCAGCTCAGCTAGAATCACTGCAATTACAGATTGAATCTAAAATAACCGGGAAACCGGAAGGCGTTGATATCGGTTACTGGGAAAGTYTGTTGTCACAATTAAAAGGTAACWTATACTAATCTAATATAAATAATATGTAAATTACATATATTTTTGACTTATAAAATGAATGAATTTTTATAGCTCATATGGCAAGAGCTAGATTAAGGGATCGACATCAAGAGAATTTACGTAAAAAATTGGAGGTCTTGATTGCTGAACAGGGTGTAGCTAGAACAGAAAGTGAAGCGGAAGGATCTCAAGTACCAAGCGAGCATTCAACAAAACAGGAAGAACTTACTACGAGTAATATTATTGAAAAGAGTGAAGAAAGTCAATCAGAGTATGTATACATGTAATCAAATTTTGATGTTTGTTTTTTAAATCATATTAACTATTATTTCATATGATTGTTTTAGGGACGAACAAGAAAATGGGAATGCAGCAGATGATATGTTATCTGAATCATTTTGTGAATATGAAACAGGTGGTTATTCACCAAAATATATACTTTACTCTCAACTAGAACCAGGAACTTTAGTTACTTTAGAAGAGGATGATAATCAACGTTTAGAATATGCTAGAAAACAAGTACTGAGTACTGGACGTAAAGTTCAAAATGTAATGACTGTAGAAGAACAAGCGATGCACAGAGAAGCAAGGAAAAACATGGGTTCGGACGAAGCACAATTTAGTGTAGAGTCATCGTTGGAAGCACAGATTTATTTATGGTCCGATAAATACAGACCTAGAAAACCAAGATACTTTAACAGAGTTCACACAGGTTTTGAATGGAATAAATATAATCAAACGCATTATGACATGGACAATCCACCACCGAAAATTGTACAAGGTTACAAGTTCAATATATTTTATCCTGATCTCATAGACAAACACACAACACCGGAATATTTCTTAACTCCGTGTGCCGATAATAAAGACTTTGCTATTTTACGATTCCACGCTGGTCCTCCTTATGAAGATATCGCTTTTAAGATTGTAAATAGGGAATGGGAATACTCATATAAAAGAGGCTTTAGGTGTCAATTCCATAATAATATTTTTCAATTATGGTTTCACTTCAAACGATATAGATATCGTCGATAATATACCAGAATTTTATATTGTTTTTTTTGTAAATGGACATGTAATATACAAATTATACTATAATTTAAGAGAAACCAATTTTTTAAGATTATACTCTAAATAAAAAAGATAGCGAAGTAATTATTGTAAAGTAGAAAAAAATAACATATTATTTACAAAAAAAGAAAAAGAACTCGTAATTTATAATTTTCTAGATATCGTCTTAATTCTTTCGTTTGTAGTGATACGCACTTAGCGTACCGACGTGGTACACTAGTGCCTTTTCTCCCTATACGGGAACCATTTGAGTCAAGATTTTTATATATAACCACGAAGCCCATGTAGCTTCGTTTATATAACGTTCGAGAGACATTAGTCTTATATATGGCGTCCAAGAGTATACTTGTTATTAATAATAATAAATGTTATATTTTCTTCAATTAAAACTCAGATTCTTAATTTTTAATGTTATTTTATTATCTTTTTTTTTTTTTTATTATAAATGTACAAAATATTTCGTTACAAACATGCAGAGAATATACATACTAAAATATTATATTATATTAAAACAAAATGGTAAACAATAACACAAGCTATGTACAAGCTTTTATGCGGATAGTGTTTTAAGCCTTTAAACTTATAGTAACACAAGAAAATTTTATTTCTTCTATATAGTTGATCAAATATGAATACTGTAATTTACTTTGCTGAAACTTAAACATCTTTATTTATTATTAAAATTTAACATATTAAACACCACGTCAGTCACCAATGACTGTCAGTACAATTTTTATTCTAGCCACGTCCATCACCAATAACTAACATCCTTGTATATTTCTCTGACTAATGGATTATCGTGGCCTGAACAGAAATCTAAAAAAAAGAGATTCGATGCTTAACGTGTTAATATTTGTTATCAAACTTTTTAAAGAAAAAGAGAAAAAGCAATAAAATTTAATAAGGAACATAGTTATATTTATGAAATGTAATTCTTAGATCTAAATGATATTTACTAAAGTTAAGCATTATATACATATCACATTTATACTAGGATTTACATATCTTCAATGCTATATTTAAAGTGGAATTCCCAACATAGACACAGATATGTACATATGCCTCATATTTTAATGCAAGTGTATTATTTGTAATATATGATAAGTCAAAATGCACCTTGATTTATATTTCGATACCATATGTAAAAAAAAAAACAATTTCTGTGGAAATACTATATAAACGATATAAAATAAAAATATAGTATTTATAAATTATCTACCAAATGTAACAGGTTTTAAGTAATAATAAGTGGGAATTAAATTAACAATGTGTTACTACCTTGTAACAAACGTATATCAAATATAAACTAAATATCTTATATTAAATGATTTCGATTATATTGCCGTATATAACCTTTTCAATATATCTTGACACCATCATACTTGGTAATACAAATTAGATAGTTTTAAACATTCAGCATAAAGCTATATTAGTCTTATTATTATCATTATCATCTCAAAACTTATATGTATTTCTCTTTATAATATTGTAACGACGAATCTAATAACGTTATCACTTTACATTATGAAATTATATATATATATATATAATTATTTTTTTAAATTATATATTATAATTGTTGTGCAGAAAAATTGGCCCAAAATCATGATCAATTATTCTACACTGATGTAAATGTAGTTTTAATGTACATTAATCAACACCTTCTGCCAAATTTTGTGTGTATTGATTAATGTTTTAAGATGTTATTTAATGTTATTAAGATATTATAAGAAATAATTGACCCAAGTTCATTCTCAATTATTTCATCAATGACGTTAATTTGTAAAGTAATAATTTGGTTAATGTATCACTGTTAGAATAGGATTAATTGTATAGAGTTTACATTTATGAATACTGTTAATAATAATGTATCAAAAATTAACACGAAAGTTGTATTGTATCATAGATTCGTTTTTAACAAAGACTCGTCTTATATGCTTGTGCATTTATCTTAAAATCAATAATTTCTCTTATTATAATACTGTTAACATTAAATTATGTTTATAGAAAGTTAAGAGAGCAAATACATTAATGCCTACAAAAGGCTGCGTGTTTTACTGGAAAAATTGGAAACAAAAATGCCTTACATGAAAAAATATAGGTCCATCCTTAGAATATTGCCACTAAAAAAATTTGGACTCTTCTGTTATAATTAATTAAACCTGAAAAAAGTTATGAATTTTAGAATATTTTTTAGCTAACGTATTAATATAATAATGATTTACAATAAATACCTTTTTTTTTTTTTTTTCTTTTACATTATATCTCTTCATTTATAATTTATACATAATCAGATCTATCTATATCAGTCTTATTGCTATTAATTTGAATACGTAAATCGTCTAAGGTATCAACTTTCTCACTTTCTCCAAATATAGATCCTTCATCTGACAGTTCTGGGTCTTTATTTATTATTTTATGTTTCTTACGATCTCGTTCTTTCTTGTGAGATTTTTTTATTGAAGTTGTTTGCAACAATCTCATATAATTTTTTACCATTAAACAGTTTGGTGGAGTTTTATTAGATGAGGTAGTATCATTTGTTAGGATATTTTGTCTGTCATTAACATTAACATCTTGATTGGAAGTTTGAGAATCTTTATAAATTGTAATAGTAGAATTTTGCGCATAGTTATTACTACCATCGCTTAACATATTTGTTGAACAAGTATTATCAGCTAAACTTGATTTATTATCATTTGATTTAGAAACTATTGTTGAATGTCTATGATTATTCTGCAAAAATTTGTTATCATTTTTCTGTAGAAATAATTTTTCTTGTTCTAATATAAGACTTCTATGCAATCCATTTCCACGTTTATCCTTTTTATGAGATTTTTTAATGGAATTAACGTTAGGAAGTAATTCTATTGTAGACATATTTTTGGGTGTTGATCTTCCATTTTGATCTTGCGTATCAGGCTGCTGTTGTTCTTCAACTGAATTACTTTTTTCATTACTTGTTTTTAACAAATCAGTATTTTGCCCTGGTAATACCGTACAACCAAGATGTCTTAGAATGGGGGTTAAACATCTAGATGCATCGATATTTACAATCTCTTCTTCAAATGAATCATTTTTATTTGACTGTACTATATGTAAATCATCAGATTTCACATCAGTTTTTAATAATGGTCTTCTTTTTTTTATAGGTGTACAAATTTTGAATTCCTCCATATTTCTACCCTCATTTTGCGTTAATTTAGAATTGCACAATAAATGTAATAAATCATCATCATCATCATCATCGTCATCTGGTAAATAGGACAATATTTTTCTTTTACTTGGAGACACCTTACTGTTAAGATTGATATTATTTAAATGTAAATTAGACATAGCGCTATCATTTTCAATAAATTTGTTCTTTATTTGTCGTTGATCTTTCTTGGTAATGTCATTGTGCATTTCATGTTGCACATTATTATAATCCGCATCTTTATTTAAAAATTGTTGACGTCGAATAAATTGTGAAACGATTTTATTATGTTTGTCTTTTTTGTGTGATTTTTTAACCGAAGTAAAGTTTGACAATAACAGCCTGCTAGAATTAACATTTTCAGGTGTACTAGCACGAACAATACTGTCTATATTAACACATTCCTCATTTGTTGGAATATTATTATCATTTTGATTATCTTCTGATACTTCAAAATGCTTATTTTTAACAGTATCCAGTTTTGCTTCCTTAAGTTTATGTTCAAGATTTCTAGGTAAAAAAAGTTTTTTCCTTTTTTCTTCCTTAATCTTCTTATGAGACTTTTTAATTGATTCAGTTTGAATATGTTGTAAGAAATCTATTTGATTTTCTGGAGTCATTACTCTTACTGAAGATACAGAATTTGTTTCAAATGCTTGTGGTGTTACTGATCTACTTTTCTTATTGGCATTACTAGTACTTGGTAGGGGATTTTGAGAAACTGTGTTACATATTTCTTCCTCAACGCGAGAACTACTAGATTTTGTATCCATACCAGTAATAATATCCAGACCTTGATTGTTTGTTGTGTCACTTGAACTATTTATTAATTCATAACAACCAATACTATTTGCTAATATATTGTTACTACTTGAGTCATAATCTATGTTATCATCACTTTTATTAAAATTAAGATTGGTATGGCATGTATTATTTTCTCCTTTTATATTTCCTTGTCCTATGGAATATTCAAAAATAGATCCTGAGTTAGAAAGTTCATCTCCAGAAAGTAACATTGAAATGTTTTTTCTACTTTTATCTTTTTTATGAGATTGTTTAATAGAATTTGTATCACAGACAGATACAATATCTTTTTCAACCATAGGTGGACTTAAGGGTCTTTTTTCTCTTCGCAGATCATCAAATTGCTTAACCGTGAAAGGATCTGTTAGTTTTTGTAGTACATTTGTATGTTTTATAGATAAAGTATCCATTTGTCGTAGTGATCTTTCCTATGTAAGAGGAAATAAAACAATACTTATATAGTAAAATAATAAATGCATAATTTTATTAAAAAGAGTTAATAGAATTCTATTCTTACCTTTTTATGACTTTTCTTTATGGCACTCATACTTTCCGGAATAATAGGAATTGTATTTTCAGGTGTATGCGGTCTTTCATCATCTTCGTTAGAAAAATCTGCATACAAATTTCTCGGTGTACTAATATTGCAGCGAGTATTAAAATTTAATGCTTTTCTATTTTGATTAAAAGAATGTGAAGGTGAACAATTCATTTGTACAATGTCATTGATCTTTTCATTAAGACTCAAACGTAAAGATGGAGAAGATATATCCATATTCGGAGATGAAACATACATCCTTTTCTTAGGTGTAATATAATCCAATAACTTTTTAGCTTTTTTATTTCGTTGAGAAGGAGTTTGATTTTGATTTTCATCCATCGAATCAAATGATGTAAGAAATATACTGCTTGTACTCGAATTACTTGGACTTGTGTCAAAATTCAAAGTTTTATTAATTTTAGGCGAAGATGTAGTCAAATTGAAATTTATATTATCTCTTGAACTTTTAAGATTAGAAAATTTCTTTGGACTTGGAGTTAAATTAAAATTTAATGTCTTTTTTATTTTCTTTCTTTGATTGTAGAAGGGACTGCAATTAAAATTAAGTGCTCTCATTATTTTAGCTGATCTTGTTAGATGCTTTTCGTTATCCACATTACTACTTCCTGAACTAGAATTAGGAGATTTAAATAAACGATCATTCTTATAATTATCAAAGCTTAATGATCTGTTCATTCTATAACAAACGAAACCTCTATTTCTTCGTGATTTAAATATTCTTGGTGATGTATATGACCGTTTCAAAAAATATCTATTATCATTAGGCGGACTCAAATCTGTACGAAATTTTAGTTCTTTTCTTTCATTACTCAAACTATGTTCTTCTGTAGAATCATTTTCTTTTGCTGTTATATTTATCATTTGATTATTGAACATAATCTTAGTTCTTCTTTTTTAGCAAAAGTATAATACGTGCACGAATACACGTTTATAAGAAAGCTTCTTTTTTTTTTTTATCAAACTTTGAACGTTCAGTTTATAAAAATAATTATTAATAACTGTGAAATAAACATAATACCAAACTTCAATAAACCAAGTAATAAAATTCTAATAAACAATGTTTACTTTATAACATAACTGTTTTTTAAGAATATATTTTAAATTTTATTTCCCACAGCAAGATACCTGCAATAAAAAAATGGAAAACATTAAATAAGCGGAATTATTGATAATAATTTGTAATTATTTTAAGTTTCTTGCTAAAAATAATACAATCGCATGACTTTTCTCCGAATATACATGAATTTAAAATTGAATATAATAAAGCTACACAAAGGATGCAGTATCTTTTTAAAATATTGAAGATTTGCATTCTCATGCAGAAACGCAGAAGCATCGACGAAGCGTGGTAATTATGACGCTTCCATTTAAAACTATATGGACGATTTTATATGTCATACAATGGTATACTTATACAAGTAAAATATATAAGAAAAATCATTTTCGTAACGAAATATAAATATCTGTTAATGTATAAAAGAAAATAGATGGAAATAAGAAGCTTGCAAGTTTGTACAAGTAGAAAGTTGTAAACGCTTTACCTACTTTTCCAAATATGTATGGACGCCAGAACAAGGTTATCCAGTGATAATGTCGTGCTTGACAAAAAATTCTCTTCTTTTCTTTTTTTGTTTTTTCTTATCGATACTGCCCCGATTGTACTACAAAATATAATATGAATAATATCCAAACACCATTGCACGATCGTAACTCACATTACATACTTTTTTATGACTACGACACGTAGCTTGTAGTTCTTTGGCGTGGGTTATAGGTGGTGCTGCACGAAATTTAAAGGAGCAACAGGTTGCTGTAACAATGGCGGTCCAAAAGAATGTTCAATTTTTCTGGCCAATTATGGCCCGATCATCGAATTAATAAAAATTTGATCTAATATTTATTTTTTACTTTATTTTCATATAATTTCTTATTCTTTTTCCTTTTTCTTCTTTATAAGTCGATTTTTAAATCTACTTAAAATGGGAGACTATTTATTTACCCTACCCAAATTACTATGAGAATTGATATATGTTATGTGTTAGTAATAATCTGTAATCACAATATAAAAATTGGCCATCCCTAAGTTTCAATCCGTATATATAAAGACAATTTTTCAAATTTTTTGTATAAACTAAAAGAGCATTATTCGAGCAAAAATTTCGAATTTACAAGATGTGCTTATTGTAAATTAATATTATGCTTTATATATATTTATGGTGATAAAATTATCGTCTAGAAATTTGTAAATCTTTGGAGAAAAAGAAATAGAATTTTTACAAATTATTACATCAAATTATTATATCATTAATCATAAATTATTGTATAAATATTTTTATAAAATTAATATAATATTTTACTCTTGCATTCATATGAAATAAACTTACTTTCGTATTAGGAAATTGAATTGAATTGAAAAAAAATGTTCACTATAAATGTTAAGAATACAATTTTAATAAAGCTAAACTTCTTTGAAAAAAATTGTTTATTATTAAAAGAAATAATTTCTTTTTGTTTGTAATTTATTCATGTTTATCATTATTTTGCATTTATATTAATTTTTTTCATATTATATTAAATATTAGAAAAATTATTATAATATTCAGAATAAAACATTACATGAAGAATTATTTAACATTATCATGTTTATATACAATAAAGAGGCTAATTGTGACTTCTTAAATTGATGATGGTATTAAATATTGAGTCCCCATTATTTTGTATAAAAACTCTAGGTATAAAGGATTTTCTATTTACATTTATATCTTACCATATATCAATATAGATACAATATTTTTGTTCTTGTATACAAAAGTATTTTAAGTAGCTTGAAATAACACAGCAATAATGTTTTGAACATTTTTTGTTACAGTATTGTTATACATTATTCAAATATGCCTTATATGGAAACTAACAATGTATTCAGCATTAGTACGTTGAACTGATATAGCAAATGGATCTGTTGGGTGAAAAATAAATGCTACTAATCTTCTTGCTGCAGTTGGTGCTGTACGACCAAACATCCCAGCATACATTTTAAATTTCAAAAGACCCGAATCACGCGCATAAAAGCTATAACAAATAAGAAATCGCATGTTAACTTATATAATTGAGGCAATGTAAGATAAACTTAAATAAATAATGTACCGAATAGGATGTTCTCCAGAAGCTTTGGGTCGTTCCATCATAGATACCCATTTATCATCGTAACAAAATAAAGATAAATCAAGATATGGAGAACTTGAATAAGACTGAGCGCAAATTGGTAATTGAGCAAGTAACCTTTTTGTAGCTTCTGTAATTCCACCATATCTGGCACTTACTATTGTTTGTTTGAACCTCTGTTGCATTAATCTATAAAATTCATTAAATTATTAGTAAATATATTTTAAATATTAAAGTAATTTTTATATGCCTTTTTTTTTATAAAAGAAAATGTTATACCGTGCATAAATATTATTTGATGGAGAGCACATGTATTGGCAATCTGTACTCATTCTAGCATTTCTAAAAAAATCACTGAAGTTTTCAAATTGGGTCAACAATTGAGTAGATGCATTATCATACACAGCCAAAATTTTAGCAGTTTCCATATTATATACAACAAGAAGAGCTGGTTGTGCATTTGGTTCATTTGCCTGAAGAGTTGCAACTTCTTCACTAGCAAACCTTATAAGTATATGATTTGCATCTAATAATTGCATTTTCCACATTCTTAATGCATTCAACTGAAATATTATGTTATAGTAAAAATATTAATAAAAATATGTTATTTATTAGTTACATATTATGATATAATATACCTGATCAAAATATTGATAAAATCGTCTTAATTCATATGGGTCATTAGTTGTATTACTTATATATTCTGCCCTCCTATATAAAAATACTAACAATTTGTGTTTAAGGCTGTTTATTCTGGTATCCCTAAATGATCTATAATTTACGCCACGCCATGCACCAAATGAAAATAAATAAGTTTCATCTCCCATACAAAACCTATTTTTAAATGATTTTTATTTATTTAATGAAAGACTATTTTCTTATATATTTAGAACAAAATTGGTAATCAAATGGTTATAATCATACCTTCCTATTAATTTGATATAAATGAACATTCCATTAAGAATTTTAAATACATGTATTGTTTGGTGTTGCACAGATAACACAGCCAAAACATCTTTGTATAAATAAAGACCTATGTAAAATTTAATATAAAATAATTATTTAATATATTTCTATAATATAATAACTTTATACAGTTCATTATCTGAACGTCGATTATCTGAAAATCGGTTATACGATTATAGAATGAGCCACGTATGTACGTATTGCAGCTATGTGTTTAACAATGTTAATATTATGGGAATAAATGAAGATAGGACAAAATAAAGTACCATTCACACAAATAGTGAAGCAGAAAATACATTAAGTATTGTCATGGAATAGACAAAACATCAAAATAAAATAGGTGCTGTACAAATGTTCATGTTGGACGGCATCCTCAATTTAGCAATATCTAAAAACGTCTAATTTTTGATATTGCACTTTTCTTATTATTAGGTATGTTCGTTTACTTATAAACCATTCAGATTGAAAGATAATCGACATTCTAGTGTATATAAATACCTTGATTATGAGATAAATATATTTTATCAACTTTGAAATGTCTAATATGACATAATTTTCCATCTCGTATGTCAACTAGGTGCAGAGTATAATCCTCAAGTGGAGATCTCGGATTAGGTGTCAATGCTTCATTATTTGAATAAATCTTTAAAAACACACAATAATGTATTCTTAAAATAATATTTATCGAATATGTGTGAAACACTCCAAATAAAATTATTATGGAGTCGTACATTTGTTAAATCGAATAATTCCATAAAACAAAAAGTACAGAAAATTGATGAAATTACATACATTTATTATTCAACGGCTATAAAAAAATATTGTTATTTAATGGTATTAGGCTTATTGTTAAGAAAATTTATTTTAAATATGCTAAGTTAAGCATTAATTAAAAGCTTTGATACTAAAACTAAAAGAAATTTTTCAAGTAGAGTTAATCAATTTGGTCTGCGAATGGCTTAATAATTCATACACAGTGTATATTTTTGTACATACTTGATAAAAATGAGGCCTGAGTTCATCAGGAATATGTGCCGCAGAACCCACAATAACATAACGACAATCATCCGTAAATAAACTACATTCTCTGTTTAATTGCTGGTTGCATTGAACTACATTAATCGTCCATTTAGCCTATAATTGTTTAAAAGAGTATTTATTTAGATTTAAATACACATCAAATTTAAGACGCACATAATGACAGGATAAATACCTTGAAAAATCGACTGAAAACATTAGACCTTATATTAATATTAACATCATCATTTTTATGTCCTATATATTCTCCTTCAATATCAGCTAAAAGATCTGCTGCTGCAGATGCTCCGCGATATTCATAAACTTCTATAGACGTTTGATCTGCACTAAAAGCTATCAAATATTTTCCATCTGGACTGAATTTTCTGAGAAAACATGGGGGTTTTTCCACATTCATAATTGTAAAATTTGGAAATACATTTTGATAAAATTGTCTAGCATTATGAACATGAGTTCCAGGATATGGACAGCCAAATGTTTCTCTTCTTCTAAGTCGTACAACAATATTTTGTGGTCCAAATTTGCGAGGTTTAATGGGAAAAGGTTCTGTCACAAACTCGATTTTACCATTTTTTTCGGCCATTCTATATAATTCCAAAAAGTATACATAACACGTAAATATGCGTAATAAAAATACGGTTGTTTACATAGAAAGTTTGCAACATATATATATTTATATATATATGTATATATGATGTA